ATGAATAGACACAGAGGCAACTCAATGTAATGTATTGTGAGAAGCTATATTTCTTTACACCAGTTTGGAAGATCCCAGAGTGTGTAACAATATGAATAAACTGAGTCTGAATAATGGTGGGTTGGTGGGCTCACTTGCACAGAATAGCTTTGAATTAAAGGACTGCTCTAGTAGAACAGGCCCTTCAGGTCCTGGCAGCTGGTGGCTTCTATGTCAGTAAAGCAATTAATCCACTCTAGGTTTTAATTTGAATTTTAAAGGAAGTGTCCAAAGTGCTGAACCTATTGTGGGGATAATCCAGTACCTTGGATGTCTCCTTTAAAATTCAGATGAAAATCCAGAGTGGATTCACCATCCCACTTACCTGGAAGCTACTATTGTCTTCAAGTATTGCTTGACTGAAACTCTTATTACTCCAACCATAATGTACACTGGCTAGGACTGAAGGTAATTGCATTCCAAAAAAATACATTGGAAACACCATGTGATTTCCACCCCTGCCATAAAAAGAACTCTCAAATGATTTGGTGGGAGATTTCACACATTTTTATACATTTATAACTTTTAAAATTATTCTTATTGTATGTAGGGATAATGGCAGGGATTTTTACTAAATTCAGAACTATTTTTCTGCATTTTAGGTCTGTTCTAGAACATGACAATTTACTGATAGTTTTTGAAAACTTTTTCGTAACAATACCTTGCACTATAATATGCTTCACTGTCCTATAGTATCTCAATATTCCTTACATCAGCCTGATAAGGTAGGTTTGTATCATTATTATTAATTGGGCCAGGGCTTAGAGATTAGTCAAGGTTATCTAATTTAGTCTTAGGCATAACCATACTTGAACCAGCATGATGTAGTGGTTTGAATGCTGGACTACAACTCTGGAGACTAGGGTTCGAATCCCCACTCTGATACATTTGCTTAACAAAAGCTTATTGTATGAGAATTATTTAAAAATGTTTCACAGTAATACTTACTCTAGAACCTCCTTTGAAGCCATATCCAGGTAGCGAACTGAGACCCACTGAATTTCAAACCAGTCCCTGAAGCCATTGTTTCCACAGCACTGAAATCTAATCTGTAACGCATCTATCGTTTTCTTTAAGAAGCACCGCCCAGGGATATCTGTATCCTTGTAGAACTTGATAGCATCTCTGAGTCCCAGGTATAGAGATTCCTCCAGCTCATTCCTCATGGTGTAACACATGATGGCACCCACCAAGATGCAAAAGGTGAAGCAGAATGTGCACACAATATATGGGAGCATAACCAACTTCCATCGGTTAAACTTATTGATGTCTGTGCAGTCATAGCAGATTTTACCTCCAAGAAAGTTGATAACACAGGCTATGACCCCTACGGAGATTAGCATATTGGGAACAGAATTGACGTCTCCTTTGGCCATCACTTCACTGCGCTTCCTGATTTCTATTTTGAGGAAGAGTCCTAGACTGAAGAGAATTGCGCCAGACACCACAGAAATCCAGTTCAGGATCCACAAGATCTGAGCCAACTTGTCTCTCTTTGTTTTGGTGAATTTTACTTTAAGGACAGCCATGATCACTACAGCATTAAGAAGTATTGCTCAGGAAAATCTCCTAATCAGATTATCAGACTGTGTCCAAAGTGGCCAAGGCATACGGCAGAAGCCTGTGAAAGAGAGCGAGCGAGAGAGAGATTAGTGTCTTTCCTTGTGTGTATTTATATCACATGCAGCCCAACATCCTGAGTAGCCTCTTAACATGTTACCAAACACCTATGAGAACTACTGAGTTCTCACGTCAGCCTCACAATTGGGACACTACTACAGAGATTCATCTGTTCTCATGCCTACACACTGAAAATAAACTACACACTGATTTCCGTGTGGCATGCTCTCGTGTAAGTATGACAGGGGTTAC